ATGCCGAAAAATTGAGTTTGACCGGAAAACTCATTTTTGGCTGGAAACAATGTCAAAAACCGGAAAAACCCACTAGTACCAGTCATACCGGTATAATGTACACGTTTCAACAAGTTCAAGCGTTAATAAAGCACAGAAAATAATTTAGTGACCAAATGTGACCAACAGCTAAAGTACGTTACCCTCTCAAGTCATTATCCTCATAAACAATATACACCTCAAGATAGTTTATGGTCCCTTCTTTGGGTCCTTACAGCCGTTCTCGTAACTTTCCGAGTCTCTTTAGACATATATAGAGTAAAATACCCTCAATAAATATTGACCAAAAAAACCTTCTAATTCCATTGGTAAACAACACTTTATATATGAGATAAATTCCAATACTCCATATCACTGAACTCTCAAAAAACCTCCAATTAGAGATGCAATTATATTGACAGATTGTCTATCAATCAAGAAGTTTATTTAAAAAGTCATACAGCTTCCTTCCAAAAACCTAATTCAAATACAACCATTAAACCAACCCACCAACAAAGAACAATATTTAGGGTTTCAAAACATGGAAACTACCTAAAATATTTATTTCAGACATGCTTCAAGTATCTCAACAACACAAAGTTTTAAAATCGTCCTCCCGCCTTCTTCTCCCACCATTCCATGAACTTGACCTGGGCAGCCATGGTGTCCAACCTGTATAACTGAAGAGAGTGATTTGCAATTTCTTGCCCAAAACTCATCCCAAACACTGCTCCTGCTGCCAATGACAACGCCGCACCTGCAAAGTCCAAGGGTAAAATGGTCATTTAAACTGATTGAATGTTGTGAAATTTGTTTTTTTGGAATGCAAGGGTAAAACGGTCATTTAGACTTACCATGGGGACTTTTTGAATATTTCCATGCAAATCCACCAGTTGACACAGCTCCAAGTATGCCTCCAACAGCAAGAAATTTCACAGCATCACGGGTTGTCTTAAGCTGTAAACAGGTGAGTGTTAATTTGTATTTGTAGTGCATTTTACTTCTAGAATGAAAAATGGTTGTGCATGCTTCATCTAGAAAACCACTTTGTTGCATAAATTGGGAAAAAATTGGATACCTTGTTGAATAAACAAACTTTCATAATTGAAAATACAACATACAATGACCTTAGGTGCACAAAAATCAATGATATATCAGTAAAATTGACTCTCTAAACTTCAAAAGAAACAAACTATTTCAGGAGTCAATCTACTATGTAATCTGTAATCTGTAATCGCTAATAAAAAACAAGATTGCAGCCTTCAGTTCACATATCACCTCATAACCCATTCATCATACTGAAAGAAATCAAAGCAAATGAAAAAAAAAAAACTTACAATGCAGAACAGGCGGAAGTCTCAAACCTACAGACCAGAAGAAGAACCCTAACGAATCAAATGCCTAGCTAAGGATTCATATATTTCAAATCTTGCTTTCTATACATGCGAATCAAAAATCAATAATCAAATTATGAATAGCAAACAAGCAGTATATTTAACCTAATCAATGATTACGAAGCAACGCATAATCAGATCAATCAATAAACATAGAAGGGACAAATAAATCGATGAAGAAGGCATGTAAATAGGGAAGATTGATCATACGACGGGACCATGGACGGGATCGGAAGCGATAAATTCTTCGACATCGGAGGAGGACCATGACGGAAGAGGGTTTTGGCGGCGGATGTAAGGGTGATAACCATCCAAGATCCTAAATCTCTCGCTCCAGAAATCTTTGAATCCTTGCCATAGTGATTGCTCCGAAGCTCCTTCTGTCGCCATTTCTCTCGATCTATCTCAAGCAGCTAAAGCACTCTGCTCCTCCTTTATCTTTCTCGATTGTTTAATCATCAAATGGGCTAAATGCGAAATAATTTATTTTTGTTAACTATAAATAAATAAAAAATAGTATAAAATAAATGAAATGTTTACATTTTTTTTTTGAACGGGTAGATATTAGGGAATATGTGGCTGTTATGTATCTAATATTAGGTATAGAACCATCAAAAACTACGTTGATTTAACAAAATGCAATCAAATCTCTCTACCATCTTTCTTATATCCTCTATTATACTAGATGATAGGCTTTGTACATATTTTTATGAAGTTTTAAATATTTAATTTTGCATCACAAACCATGTATAAGAATACATTATCAACTACCGATAAGTCTTCATATTCAAATTTAATATAGAAAACTATAGTGAAAGATTGAAATTGTTCATTAAAAACCCAATAAACTTCTTCCCATAACACATCAAAAAAGAATCATGCAAGTATACATATGGTAGGTGTCAAAGAAAGTTATGAAGCCTACTGGAGGTCTAATATAAACAACACATTCGAAATAGATAGATGTTGGGGATAAATTATGAAATCAATAATTTATATGATCTTAAAAGCAATAGGAAGAAGCTAACAATGAAAAAAATGTGATTTTTAATCAAAATGAAGTCAAATTTGATGGTTCTATACCTAATATTACATACATGACAGCCACATATTCACTTTTCCATATATATATATATATATATATATATATATATATATATATATATATATATATATATATATATATATATATATATATATATCATTCAAAAAAAAACCAACGAGAAAAGCTGGGAAATAAAGTAAAATACAAATGTTAAGATAAAGTAAAAAAAAAATTATAGACTAATTAAACAATCCCAAAACAAAGGGGAGAACATCTTTTTAGCAAGCACCAAACCTTAGGCTAAAGTCGCCACTCCCCCTCGCTAAGGATTCGTTAAATAATCGTTATGACTCCCTATTTGCTCGCTAAGGCATGCGCTAGTTTTGGCTCGTCATTTGCTTAGCGAGAGGAAATGGAAGAAGAAAGTAAGGCAGGTGGTCCCTATTTGATTACTTCAGCTTTATATGTTTGTAACTCTAGCTTTAACCATTTGTACATTTTTTATAATTTATTTTATTTAAAAATTTAAATAAAAATTTATTTGATTTAAGAAAAAAAAATATTTACCTTTTAACCACATCACCACTCCATATCATCATATTATGCTTACGTGTCTATAAAAACATGACGTGACAATATTTTAACACATGCTACCGCATGTTACCACTCCCTCTAGCCTTAGAACACCACCTCACATTATAATGTGGTTCCTTGGTCTTTGATTTTAACCTAAAAAGTTCTTTTGATAAAAAGACTTTTTGATCTATAAAAGCCAAAAAGCCAAAATTCATAAATTTCTAGCTTTTAAAACAACTCATTTTCCTTTTTAGAAAAAAGTTATTCTAAAAGAACTTTTAAAATTGTCAAACACTTTTTTAGACTTTTAGCTTTTCGAAAAAACCAAAAACTCAAAAAATCAATTTGAAAAGTAATCCCAAACACCTTCTTTATATCCACCCTTAGCAGCATAAGAATAGCAGCTTTATTTTTTGGATTCCATATGTACGATAATATGTTGTCCTCGTGCATAATTTTAAGAAATAAACATCTCCTTTATCGTCTCTTTCAATTTATACCATTATATAGGGGGTTAGCATGGGTTGGTTTTGGGGTAAAACCGAACCCAACCCGTTATTTCAGTTTTTGGGTTTTAGAACCAATGGGTTCGGTTTTTGACCGGGTTCGGTTTTCCGGTTATAGGGTCGGTTTCTCATTTTATGGGTTCAACCCATGGGTTCATGGATTTTGGGTTTAAACCCATTCTTCAAAAAATGTAAATAAACTAACAAATTAATTCAAAAAAATTTTGAACCATTTAAAACAACCAAAAACACCAAAGTCAATTACATAGTTCAAAAAAATATTAAGACTACCAAGTTCTGAAGCTAATAACCAAAACATGAAAATCAAAGTAACATATAAATAGTTGGGTTGGTTTGGTCGGTTAGGGTCAGGTTTAGATCGGTTTCAAAACCGTTGGGTTGGGTCGGTTTTGACAAGGCAAACCCAACCCAAACCGAAAAATCCGGTTTTTAAAATTCTAAACCCAAACCCGACAGTTAGGGTTTGATTTCTCGGTTTGGGTTTTATCGATTTTTTTCGTTTTTGGGTTTTTGGTTTCGGTTTTGCTCACTCGTACCATTCTATATCAATACAATTAGATGAGTGCAAATCAATTTTTTAAACCGAACTAGAGGTTTGAAAACCGGTTATAGAGTGGAAAACCAGTTCATATTAAATCGATTTGGGGTTAAAATGTTCGAACATATAGAACTGGTTAAATATCAGATGAAACCTGATTTATTAAAATGGTTTTGAAACCTATATTTTCGACAAGTTGGCCAAAATTGAGTTTGGTATCTATCCTTAACGAATTTTTCATGGTTGATAAGAAACAACTAAACAGGCGAAACACATAGCTTTTCAATGAAGTAAAGTGTTTTTTGTGACTCTGTGATAGTTCAAAGTGACAATTTTTTCTTTTAGATTTAGTAAAAAATGCTTATCGGGGAACCCTGGATCTTATAAAGAAGAAAGAATAACAATTAGTAGATTTTTCCTCTTGATTATTGTTTTTACGACAATGGTTAAAAAAAAAAAACAAAACAAAAAAAAAAAAACAACAGATGAGATCATGAGAAGAGCAAAAAGGGATGAACTACATAATAAAAGGAATAGGCATTTTTAAAACAAAATGAAAAATAAGCATATTTTCAGAGTATAGTAAAGAAAAGATAGAATCTCAAATTTCCTTTTCCACATATCGATATTTAATTTTTCAGTTTCACTATATTAAAAGGAACTGTTTTCTTTTTCATTTAAAAAATTAATCAATATCACTGTAGCTATTACACACTTTAATAATATAATAACATTAGTTGGTACTTTGGTCATTTTACACCTATTTGACAATACTTTGGCTAGACTTTATGGATAGATATCTTCCTCAATTAAGTCTGTTATTTCTACATTAAGCATAAAGGAAACAAAGACACATAGTTTACTTGATACAAAATATATTTCCATTAAGTAAAAAAGAAAAAACACCATAGCCTTATCACTACCTTAGTATAGTTACAACCAAACCAAACCAAACCAAACCATTTTTGATTTTACTAGAAGCAAACAAATAAATACAAATTAACCCACAGGAATATAAATCTTCACAAATTCAACCCAAAATATGGACTTAAAACAATCACATATTAAGTTTACATGAGGAGGAAAAAGCTTCATTCTTTTATCATCTCCCAGATTGTATTACAAGTATCAAAATCACTCTTCTCCTCGGGATTGAACTCAAACTTTTCAACAACTTTCTTCTCTTTATCAACAATATCTGTCATTATTCAAATTAAAGAAATGCAAATTCACAAGGAATATATATTTTTTTAAAATTATGATCTAGTAATTGTATAAAAGTAATATTAAACACAAAAAAAGGATACGTCCAGATATCATCTTGGACTGATCATTTAAGTCAGGGAGGATGCTTGTTACACATGCAAACATTGATAGCTTCATCCTGCAAAAAAAAAAAAAAAAAAGATAAAAACATAAACTTTTAACATCATTTATCCAGATTACACTTAATGGGGGAAAAAATATGGAGGCTTACTGTGCTTTTAATTCATCTTGTTTGAGTTTCTTCAGAACCTTCCTTCTGTCTTCAATGGAACTTCTTTGTTCTTCAAGATCTTTAATTTCATTGGTGATGGATGTGTTGATAATAATAATGATAATGATGGATAATCAGTAATCATGTATAAACACAAAATTAAAGTAAATTAAACATTAGTAAGTATATACTTATCTAAGCTCCTCTTGTAGCAATGTCTCTCTTTGAAGTTCTTCATCCAATTCTTTCTGAAGCAAATGTATTTCTGCATCTGAAGCAACTTCAGCCTTTGCAGCTTCTGTTTTTTGCTTGCATAGGTCTATCTTTTTTTGATAATCTGTTGTGTGAAAAGTGAAATTACAATATTGCAATTTGGAATATCAAGATCAACTAAAATACCTAATCAACACTGAATAATCTGTTGACACTTAATTTTCCTTTTAAATGTTACATGCCACTTTTGTTCTAAAGCCTAAACCAAGCAAACCACTGTCAATTTCACCCCACATTTAGAACATATATACAAATTGATTTTAATCCTAAAAATCTTCAAAGAAACTAATAATTATGTTTAGGGGAGTTTTTGGAAGTGTGACTAAATGTAAATTACTTAATTAGCCAAAGCTTTGGTGAACTAGTTATGTGATTGTTGACTCTAGATCTTTAAGTCTCAGTGACTACTTTGAAAACACATATCCAAACATCCACTGAAACTTTTTACTCCCCAGACTCCTAAAACTTGGAATAATTGACCCAAGGTGTAAAGAGTAAATGTGATTAACTACTAATTAATGCATGACAAATGAGAGATTTTGATACTTTGAAATTAACTTCTTGATTTCCGAATAGGGGTAATTGCTTACAGAAAGCAGGAAACATAGGATTGCAATCCATTTTCGTCCATGGACTTCGAAATTCAGAGAATTGAAAGCGTTTTACCACTACTTCATCAACAAAACATTTCATGTTGATACCAAATACAACTTAGCATATCAATTTCTCAACGAAGATTTTGAATCGATAGATTATAGAGTTGAAAAGTAAACCGTTTGATATGGATCTCTTTTGTAACAGGAGAGTAACTTTTCTTCTATTTTACACAAACTAAGGGACATATAGTGAAAAAGGACGTATTACCTTCTAGAGTGCTTTGAACTGCGGCATAATCTGAACGGCATCGATAGCGGAGTGTGTCGGATTTTTCAACGGAATGCTTCAAGTCATTTATGTCTCTTTCGTTCTTCAAGAACTGAACTAGGTCATCGCTGTATGAAATTAGTTTCTCGACATCAAGCTTTCTAGAAATTTCAGTCATTTTGGAAGCGATCAACCTAGGGTTTCCGACAATACCTTCAAAGATGGCGAAGGGAGGGAAAATGGTGAAAATATTGAAATGTAGGGAAGAGTGCAATTTTTTTTTTTAATACAGATCTATGTTACGAAGTATGAGTTTTATAAAGGTAAATTTGTTAACTAACGTTTTTGTTTTAAATGATTTTTATTTTAGTTTTAGAAAAATGATGCTTATTCCTGAATATTTCATTCAGGTTTGATTTTTAAATTTCAGATATACTTTTTGGTTTTTTTCAAAATTTTCCCACTTTTTTTTTATGTTTAAGTCCGAAATATCCATTTTAAAGTATTTAATGCTACTATTTTTCAACAAAATGTCTAATTTTATGTCATAATATTGTATATAGTTTACATTTACTATATTTATTTAATTTTTTGTTAGGTTTAAATAAAAAATGATTTTTTTTATCGGAATTCCCGATTTTTCATTAGATTTTGATCTTGTTTTTTTGAAATTTCAAAGTTTTTTTTTGAATTCCAAAATTTCAGTCCAAAATCCGGAATGTTAATCCAAAAATTCGGAAGTCTTAGCTTTGGAGTCTTAGCTTCAATCGTTGTTGGAGTTGTATATTCATATTTCTAACAAGTTGGATTCATGGGAGTGGAGCATCGGGATAGAGAAACAATTCACGGTTAAGGAAGATAGATCTCGGTTGGACCTTCTTACTCTATCGTGTGGTGGTATTGCTACTAGGTGGAATAAAATCTTCCGATAAAAATCAATATTTTTACTTAAAGGCTTATCCTTAACTAGTTAACGACTAGTTGTAATCTTGTTATGCGTAGTATTGATCTTCCATCTATTTTATACCCTTGTTGTGGTGAGGCCCAGGAAGACGTGTCGATGTTAGTGATAGGTTTTATGTACAACAAATAAACTAGAAAACAATTCCTAAGTTTACATGCAACCTACTTTGGATCTATGTTTTAACTATTGAACATACAACTTTGAATTGCAAAACAAGAACCCTAGAGGAGAGAGGCTAATTTCGAAATTAACAAACTAGGGTTTAGGGTTTACATACCTTTCAATTGTTATAGCAAACAATTGATATTCCCTTGATCTTGATCTTGATCTTCTTGGAAGCTTTAGCACCACAAGTGTAATGCCTCTAATGGAATCACACCCAATGACTAGCAAGAATAGAAAGTAGAAGAGAGAGAGGGGAGGGAGTATGCAATTTCGGCCAAGGTATTCTTCCAAAGAATGAGTACCCTAAAATGTGAGCCAGGAGGCTCCTTAAATAGTTGAGGGAACTAGGGTTTAGGGAAAACCCTAGTTATCCTTTGCTTAGGGCCTAAGCAAGACCCAAGGCCTTATCTTGGACCCCTTGGACGAATTCTCTAGAGTTTACCCTAGGGTTTTCGTCCACCCCCTTCCAAGGGAGTTCTGGATCCTTCCATTCAACTATCAGTTAATTGCAAACTAGTCCCTACACTTTATAATTAATTCTTTTAACCCCAAAATCAATTCTGATTAATTTCTGGCTAACAATTAATTAAACATAATGATTTCTAATTAATATATTAATCCATTAACATATTAATAAATCAATTATATATATATATTAATTTATTAATCTTATAAATTAATATCTCTCCTTTCATAATTTCCTTGTCCAGTTGCTAGGTTGAGGGCAACCCAAAAGGACTGTGCTGCTATGAATTCAAGTACATACCAATTATAGTTATGGGCTTAGACACCTAATCCAACAGTCTCCCACTTGGATAAGTCTGTAACTATAATTGCTAGTATGCCTTCTAAATTTGACCAGCAAATTGTAGCTTCCAAAAAGCTGCTGCCGAACTCTGATCCAGTCAGTTACGTGTCCTAAGATAAGTGATCATATAACCCTTCGTTCTGCTTGATATCCCCAGACAAAAGACATGGAATGTAATCAATCTGTTTGTCCAGAATCTATGTTTCCCGATTCCTGATTTGTGATGATGTAGGACTTCTAATCGAACACATCAATTTAGTCCTGGCTGGGCCCAGCACATAAGTCAACACCAAATCATCGAGGGGCCCACAGATATCGCTTTTCCTGTTAGGGCAAAAGGAACGAATAAACGTTGACTCATATGCTTGTATCTTTTACTCATCAAATTACGCATGACAATACGTTTTATAACACCAAGTTACTGATGCGTTTTCGTATCACCAATGTATGACCGACTTGTAAATCACAACTCATATATCTTCGTTTCAAGATTACAAGATATTATCGTCTCAGTATTACTCGTGATGAATTCCATGAAGTAATACTCTGAGCGAGGGTTTATCCAATACTCAAATCTCAATTTCTGAGTACTCATGAACGTTGCAACAATTCTATTGCCATGTCTATCCTTAGACAATCTGCAATCCAATTCATGACAGTCTTAATTCACTACTTACTTCCAAGAGTACGAGCGACTGTGGAGTTTGAATAATCTCATTATTCAGGAAGTAAAACATGCAAAAATGAAACACAATAATAAACAATTGACAAAAGGTAGTAGCCAAACTTATAAATAATACTTTATTATTTAATCACCAAAAGTCAATTACATTTACTTTGTTACAAGTTTCAAAAACTAATCTAACTACTAAAACTAATATCATCTTTCAGTCCTATGCTCCGAGCATGCTGAATATGCTTAGCCCTACTCAGACCCTTTGTGAGAGGATCTGATGGGTTATCTTCAGATGACACCCTCTTTACTATAATATGGCCTTCTTCTACTCTATGTCTGATGAAATGGTACTTTCTGTCGATATGTCTGGTCTTACCATGATCTCTCGGTTCCTTTGTCAAGGCAACCGCTCCTTCATTATCGCAGAACAGTTCCATAGGCTCCTGGATGGTTGGAACAACTCCGAGATCTCCGATGAAGTTCCTCAACCAAGCTGCTTCTTTCGACGCTTCACTTGCTGCTATGTACTCTGATTCACAAGTAGAATCAGCCACCGGATCTTGCTTGGAACTTTCCAAGTAACTGCTCCTCCATTCAGTAAAAATACCCAGCCTGATTGAGAACGGAAGTTATCTCTATCCGTCTGAAAGCTGGCATCACTGTAACCATCTACTCTCAAAGTATCACTGCCACCAAGCACAAGAACCCAGTCCTTTGTCCTTCGCAAATACTTGAGTATATTCTTAACTGCTATCCAATGAGCTCTACCTGGGTTTCCCTGATAGCGACTGACCATGCTCAAAGCAAATGCCACATCAGGGCGAGTACATGTCATTGCGTACATGATCGATCCGACAGCGGAAGCATAAGGTACACGACTCATGTCATCTATTTCAACATCTGTACTCGGGCATTGAGTCTTACTCAATTTGGTATTGCTCTGGATAGGTAGCTCTCCCTTCTTGGAATTTTCCATACTAAACCTCTTTAGTACCTTATCCAAGTATGTGCTCTGACTAAGTCCAATTAGTCTCTTCTTTCTATCTCTCATATTCTAATCCCAAGAATATAGGCAGCTTCCAAGGTCTTTCATGGCAAAACACTTTCCAAGCCAAGACTTAACATCTTCAAGGTTGGAACGTCGTTACCAATGAGTAATATGTCATCGACATATAACACCATAAAAGTTTACTATACTCCCACTAGCCTTGATATACACACAAAACTCATCTTCACTTCTAGAGAAACCAAACTCTTTGACTTTCTCATGGAAGCAAAGATTCCAGCTGCGAGATGCTTGTTTTAATCCATAAATGGATTTCTCAAGCTTGCACACTCTATTGGGAAACTTTGCATCAACAAAACCTTCTGGCTGATTCATGTAAACATCCTCAGCCAACTTCCCATTAAGGAAAGCAGTCTTTGACATCCATCTGCCAGATTTCATATCATGAAAGGCAGCTATGGCGAGCAATATCCTAATAGATTTAATCTTAGCTACTGGCGAAAAGGTCTCATCAAAGTCAACCCCTGGGGTTTGAGTGAAACCTTTTGCAACCAGTCGAGCCTTGAATGTATGCACATTCCCATCCATGTCTGTCTTCTTCTTGAAGATCCATTTGCACCCAATTGTCTTGCGACCTGGTGCACTATCAACCAAATTCCAAACTTGGTTGTCATACATGGACTTAATCTCGCTGTCCATTGCCTCTTTCCACTTGGAAGCCTCTGGGCCTGCCATTGCTTCCTTATAAGTGACTGGTTCATCTAAGTTTACCAGTGTTCTGTCACTTATGAATGTGTCACCATCTGAAGTAATATGAAAACCATACAACTCAGGTGGACACCTCACCCTAGTGGATCTTCTAAGAGGTAATGAGTTATCAATTGGTTCAACAGGAACTGTTTCCTCTGGTTGAGTGCTAGTGTCATCTAAGGTTCCTTCATTGGCTGACTCTTGAATTTCTTCAAGGTCAATAGTGCTCCCACTGTCCTCTTTGAATATGAGCTCTCTTTCAAGAAAGACTCCTCTTCGTGCTACAAAGACCCGTTCTCACTAGGCCTGTAGAACAAATATCAAAAAGACTGCTTTGGGTAACCAATGAAAACACATTTTTCACTTCTAGCTGCTAGCTTGTCGTGAGTCTCTCGTCTTACGAAAGCTTCACAACCCCAGACTTTAATATGTGCTAACGAGGGAACTTTCCATGTCCACATTTCGTGAGGTGTTTTGGCAACCTTCTTTGTAGGGACAAGATTGAGGATGTGGGCGGCTGTCTCTAAGGCATACCCCCAGAAGTGAATGGGAAGCGAAGCCCGACTCATCATAGAACGAACCATGTCTAACAAGGTTGATTACGCCTCTCAGCTACACCATTTAACTGTGGTGTCCTAGGAGGAGTCAATTGTGAGACTATCCCATATTCTTTCAGATAGTCGTTAAACTCGATACTAAGATACTCCCCGCCTCTATCGGATCTAAGTATCTTTATCTTTCTGCCCAATTGATTTTCGACTTCATGCTTAAACTCTTTGAACTTTTCAAAAGTTTCTGACTTATGCTTGATCAAGTAGATATATCCATATCTGCTATAATCGTCAGTGAAAGTCACATAGAATCGATTAGCATCTCTTGTAGTTGATCTGAAGGGCCCACACACATCCGTGTGTA